ATATTTATACATATTCATGCATGAAAAATTGTTTACTGAGAGTATTCCCATATTTTTAATTATTATAAATATATGAGATTATTATAGATAATATTCAAGATAGCGATAATATTCATGATTTTTATTAATAAAGTAAAAAGTCAGATAATACAAAGTCCACTTTCACATGCCCCTTTCTTTGAAGCAATGGAAATCAGGGTTATACCGGTTTTAAATCCCTCCTCCCACTTTATGAACCTCGCCCAAGGATATCAATTACGTAACTTCTTCTCCAGAACAGAAACGGAAAAAGTGAAAATCAATAATTATGTATGTAAACATACAACAAATTTTCATTTTTCGCATTTTTGATCTAAGGAAATAGTTACGCGATTGTCTATCCGATGAGAGTGTCATTTTGAAGCGGACATTTGATTCACATTTACCTTTATTTTTGCCATTGTTGCGAACGAGGCGCCGAGAATACTCTTCACGAGTTGTTCTGTCGACGATGGATGTTGCAGCAGGTGGCGACGATGATAATCGGATTCTCGTACAACGAATGGGGACGACAACGACGACGACGATGATGATGATGACGTGATACCGTAGTAAGTGGCAGACTGTAATGAGCGTACAGTCCTTATAAAATGCGCGTAAAATGGCTGGAAGATACGGTGGGGCGCAAGCATGGTAATATCGTGTGTCACCCACCTCTCTATCTATGTATGCGTACTTTTTACTATTCCCTCCTTATATTGTTTCTCTACTTTTTTTCTTTTTTCCTACTTCACGACGCACTTGACTCTTTTTTTTTTTTAAATCAATTGTTAACACAACGTAGAACGTAGCCTAAGATTGATCTGAAATCACTGCAATGAGAGCCGTTATCACACGAAGTCACATGTTCGGATCTTAGAATACCCCAGATTCTTGCAGAAATTCTTGCTCGAGTGAAATTTAATGCATCTCTATTTCTTTATCTTTATCTTTCTCTTCCTTTCTTATGCCGAGAACGAATGCGACGTAATTGACGTAACTGATCGGCATAGGGGAGAGGTATATGCGTTTTATTGCGTTGCTTGTTATCATATGAATTCGTATTTTTATGGAAAGCGTGTACGAGACGCATTGATGTGACGTAGTACTTGTAATTTTACGTGTCTACCAGCATCTATCGAGACTCTCTCGACCTTGAGATCTTTCCGAGATCAGACTTCACCGAGATTCGGAATCGCAACCCATCAGCGCTGTCGAGATATTTTGAGCACTACTGCTACAATTGGCTGTAAATGAAAATAAAGGGCAACGTAAACACATACAATAGATCGTGCTTTCTCTCGAAGTCACGGCGCGTCTAACGTCTAACGTTCTTAGCAAAAGTCCCCATATTGCATGAGTTCATCGGAAAAATTTCACTATTAGAAGTTTCAGTTGGCGACACTTTTGTACCTAAGAGATTCTCTTATTGGAAATTTACTCCAAATAGGTCTGTTCGCATTGCTTGAAATTTCAAAAAAAAATTTTTGCATTAAAAGTGAGATAAATATATTTATTTATTTCATTTTATAATATTATTATTTAAAAGAAAAAAAAATATATATATATATGTATATATTCCAGCATTGAAGAGAAGGGGATCGATTGTGGATTTTGAAATGAAGTGAAATTACAAAAGTGAGCAAAGGTTACTAGGTATTGACCAATTAAATTATGAATACTCTAGTGAATTTGCTCATTTTTGTAATTTTCACCTCATTTGAAGATACATAATCGACCTCAAGATGCTGAATGTGGTGGAATTACAAAGGTAAAGCAACGAGTAACGCGAACAGACTTGGTGATTAGTTGTCAGGTTGTCGCAGAGCGTCAGAGTGTCGTCGGTCACAGCCGGAACAGATGGAAACAGAGGGGGGGGGGGGGTAAAAGGTTGATTTCTCGGCGCGAGGAGACGGAGTCGGGGGAAAGGGAGGCACGATAAATGTAAACATTCAAAGGGCATGTTTCATGTGGTACGAATCATACAAACGTGGCAGAGGATAACACGGACGTTTCTTAAACATTTCGACAGACTGGATGAATATTGCGCGACAGAATTACAATTACGATACGTGCTGTGCATATTGAACGTTTCGTCTCAACATTGGGTGTACGATGTTGGCGGATGCGAAATAACGCGATGTTCCATGACTTTATGACAGAAGCGTGAACGAGGCAGAGTGAACGATGAGCCGCCCTAAATGGGACGTGCTGTGGTCCCCCTTTCACTCGGACCGATTTATCACATGGGACAGTGATGCGTTATTGAACCTTTACGAGATCGGACCGCGTGAGAATAGCGTGCGGGACAACGATCAAACTTGTAAGTTTATTGCTAAGTTCATGTTTAAAAAAAAATATATATATATATATATGTCACAGTTAAAGTGTTAACTTTAGTAAATATATATACTTATTAATCAATCTATATATTTAAGTATAGCAAATGTATACACTGACTACAGTAGACAACAGTAAAATATATATATATATATATATAAAATGTTTTTTTTAATGCAGATCTGCAGATTTCGGAGCATTCCATTGCCGAGCTGGTCTGCTCGGTTACCATCAATAGTTATGCGAAATGTGTTGATATATATCCACAACCAGAGCCAGAAATTGTAGCCAGTGGTCACGCGAATGGAAAAATAGTCCTTAGTACTCTTAGCCCGCCAGAATTTGATTACCAGGGCTTGGTCGGCAGAGAGTTTTGTAGAGATCATTATGTTACATTGTTATTGAGCGATATTACTATTGTTATCTCGGCGATACATTATTTAATCTTTCTAATCTGTATTATGAAATTCCAGTCCCAAAATACATGCGATCATGCAACGTTGTTGCCTGGAATCCTGTGGATACTCACCTGATCATGTCAGGTCTGGACAAACACAGCAAGGAACACTCTGTGCTGCTTTGGGATGTACACCATTGTCCAAAAGGTTCGGAGCGGCCAATAATAGAAGCCGGCATATCAGAGACTGTACATTCCGCCGCTTGGTTCAAACATGAACCAAGATGTTTGGCCCTCGGTGTTAATAACAAACAATTGAAAGTTATAGATTTCAGAGGTACGCTCTTAAAAGATACAATTGACAATTTGTTAACATACAATTTATAAATATTCTTTAAATTTTTTTAGATTCTGCAAAGGTGGTAAATGTTACTCCCACAAAAGCTATATATAATCTGTCGGTTAATCCCCATAATAATTATCAGCTACTTTCACACGTTGACAATCTAATAACAATTTGGGACACTCGATGTTTTGAGAAACCGATCGTTACTATAATGCCGCTACGGCACGTTACAAAGGTGTCATGGTGTCCTACTAGACGAAATTTAATTGGCACATTACAAAAAGATTCAGGTATATGTAGTTTTAAATTATATTTCTACAATTTATACATATAGTTTTTAAAAGTTAATTAAACATTTTCAAAAGTGAGCTGTTAGTGATAAAAAGAAAAGCAAAAGAAATGCATTTATTCTTATTTTGCATTTATTCTTAGTTGGCTTGCATCTATTTGACATTCAGTATTGTGGAGCTGAGGATACTGAGCCTGGTGTTTTAGAAAGAGTGGTTCTACCACCATGGCACAGTCCTGTAAGTTTCTCATGGCATCCGACTGATGAGAATCGATTGTTGGCAATATCACTGCAAGGTATTTGATGATATTTTATATTACAATATAATTTTTGTTCAAGATTATTATAATATTCTTATTACTCAGGCGTAACCGATTATACCGTATCTGAGAGAATAACGCTCAATTGGTCTGCTCGGTCATGCCTCATGTGGAATTGCGCTTTTAAATCGTTTAAATATATACATAGTGAAGATAGCGTTTATAAAGAACTAGAGGATATCTCAGTTTTAACTAAGAAGCGTGCTATGTTCGAATATGGCTTGCTTGTAAGTAGATAAAGTTAATGAAAACAATTTCTTGAAACTTAATAAATTTTTATTTTGCTTTTAGTTTGTGTAAGTCTCTTTTTCTTTAATTTTATTGTTAATGATATTTAATCAATGTAAATTTACATGTATGTACGTGTATGTGTGTGTGTTACAGCCGGAGTTAGCTCACAATGGTGATATAGCTGAGAACGAAACTCTAAAGAATTTATGGCAATGGTTATACCTTAGTCGCTCTTTAGTAGAAGACGGTACTGTACAGAGTCCTGATAATAAGCATCCCGGTGTGAGGTAAAATTACAATGTCTTATATTTAGAAGTATATATGTAAACATAATGTCTCTAACCTTTACATAGGACAGTTTTGAAATTGGATCAGCAAAATTCAGTTAATGGTTTGAAAACAGAAGTGATCCATCGTCCATGGACAGATATAGGTACTGGTTATATGACAAAAGTTTACAGGTATAGTTTGAGTGCATACAAATGCTGAGAAAGTATGGGTGTTTACATCTAATGTAATTTTAATTAATACCAATTGCAGATCACCAGACAGAGAAAGATGTCTTCTTCTGTGCGGTTTGCGATTTGACAGAGAGACTAATACGGCGTACGATAATGCGTATTTGGAGAAGTTAGAGAAGGAAGGCGCATATGCGAAAGCAGCCGCGTTCGCAGTATTTAATCTCTGCCTAAGACAAGCTATAGATATCTTAAACCGAGGTGCCAGTAAGAAACAAACGGCTATTCTAAATATGGTAGCTATGGCATTGTCAGGTTTCTCTGAAGAAAGTACTACATTATGGAGAGAGTCGTGTCAAAAATCTAAATCTCAATTATCAGATCCTTATTTAAGAGCAACATTTGGTTTTTTGACTGCCGATAACGATTCCTATGAAAGTGTACTTGTAAGTATGCATAAATATGCGAATCAAGATTTAATGAGATTGATGTAAGACGCCTAATAAGTTCAAGTTGTAGAATGAAAATGGCATGGCTGTCGAAGATCGAGTAGCATTTGCTCTCATGTTCTTATCGGATAATAAACTGCACGAATATTTGAAAAAATTGACCGAGAAGGTAATTGAAGATGGAGATCTAGCGGGCTTCTTGATTACAGGTTGTGACTCGAATATATGTTTTCTATTTTTATGAATATATAATGTCAACTATGTGCTCATTTGTAACACATTGTCGCGCTTTAGGTGCTAGTATGGAAAGTATACAGTTATTGAGTAAATATTTGGAAATTACCTCAGATGTTCAGAGTTGTACTCTTATTGCTATTAGAACTTTTCCGTCTAAGTTGCTTCAAGAGAATCAAGTTCAAGTATGGATTACGAGGTATTACAACCAAGTTTCTTTTGTAAATATTTTCTTGAATTATTCCCAAAACGGGAAAAAAGGTTACATCATTCTTCCTTTTCTCTGCTTATAATCTTCAATTTTTCAATCCTTTGTACAAATATACACACATGAGACGAGAATCGAAATTGAATTCCAAATCTGCAGATTATAAGTCGATTATTGTCATATAGAGTCACGTATCGGTTCTCTTATAAATTTCGAATGATCAGGCTTTTGATTTTGCATGTTGCTGTTACAGTTATAGACATCTCTTGAACGCGTGGAAATTATGGTTTCAAAGAGCTAAATTTGATATTGTCATGAGATCCTCGACACCACAAGAAAGACCGCCACAACAAATACATATATCTTGTCACTTTTGCGGTAAAAGTATATCTGCTTCCATGCAAGGACTGAGCAGGACGAGAGTCCCATTTGGCAGATTAGGCAGTACGCCTAACAAATTAAAGGTACATTTCTGTTCTTTAGCTAAATTTTCATATGATCAATCATTAATATATTTATCAGATCTCTGATTTCTTAATGGTAAAGAGCTTTTTTTCAATATTTTTTATAGATGACAGCTTGTCCAAATTGTCGCAAACCTTTGCCACGTTGCGCAATATGCTTGATGCACATAGGCACCGTCAGCGGACTGCAAACAGCTCCAAGTCCTGGTGGTACCAGAAATGAGGAATGCAATGCTAAGCTTACGGAATTTAATAGCTGGTTTTCATGGTGTTTAACATGTAAACACGGAGGACATAGCGAACATATAGCTCAGTGGTTTCGGTAAGGATACAAGATCGCATTTGTTATAAATATACGTTAGTTAATAAAATATAAACGAAAATCAGCCGATACGTGAATAATGGAAATAAATGAAAAGCGCCTATTCAAACCGGAATCTTACTGCTTAATGATGGTTGCTTTCTTTTTAGGAGACTCAGTTGACACAAAAATTGTTCTATTCTTCGTTGCATTTCATGGAAAACAAAAATAGAACGACACTCGTGTCTCCTACAAGAAAAGCAGCCATTTTCTATGTGAATATTTATATATATTTCTCAGTTCCTTAAACTGCATGCAAATAAAATATAATCAAAAATCGATGTTGAAGGATGTAAATGTAAAATATATGTTGCACCAAATTTGCAACGACGCCGTTAATTTCTGTACCGCTATGTTTCAGACAACATACTGAATGTCCCGTAACGTCTTGCAATTGTCGCTGCTCATCTTTGGATTACACGCGTAACGCAATTGTGACATAGGTATAATTATCCAAAAAAATTTAAATATTATACATATAAATATATATATTCTATTGAAATAACCTATTTATTACAAGGTTTTGCATGTTTTGTATACTTATTAAGTCCCACTGGATCGATTTTATGTACAGACAAAGGAATGCACGTTTGAATGCTTTTCTTTTATATTGCAGCATTCCTTGTTATTTTTATGGTAGGGATATATGCCAGACCAACCAATATGTAAAAAGAAAAATGTATGAAAAGAAGTGAAACATAGTAAACACAATTTGTATATGTAAATTTCTTGGATCTTTGTCTCTGTAGAACACTCCTGATTCTTAATCTCCATAGAACACTCCTTCTAACTGATTCCCCACTGCACAGCGCATATTTACCATTGTATTGTAGCCATTTGAATCTGCAGTAAATACCTTTGTTAAGGACACTGTTGACACTTTAGAAAAATTGATGATAAGAGAATGTCTTACTCACCAAAGTCTTTAGTCATACTTGGAGGGAAACATACAAAACTGCTGCAAGACATTGTAGACTTTGACTTTACCGTACCACGCACCTCTATGTAACCCGATGTGTTGTCAAATGGTTCGAGAAATGTCACGTTAATTCGAGCATCGTCGGTCGTCGTGATCTCTGCACTCTTACCATCAGAACTTTTCTACGAATTGCCCCAAATGCATTTTACTCATGTAAATCATTAATACAAAACTATAAAAAATTTATTAGACGCAATATCATCTTATAACGAATCAATATTAACCGAATTGATTCAGTTTAGTTGATTTCACTTTTTAAAAATAAAATAGTTGAGACTTGTTCAAGTCTTGATTAACTTTATTAGGAAATATATTAATAAATATATATTAAAAATATTGTTTAATTAATAATAATTAATATTTATTGCAATAAAATGCGATAAAAATAATTTTTGTTGCTGATGATCATCATAACCTATATAAACTATAATCTAAGCTAAAATATTTTCATACCTCCGTAATTCTGCCAAGTACGATCGCTTCTTGACCGATGCGTTGTGCTAATCGCTTACCCATAATACGTATGTCTGACATTTTTGCAAGTGATTTGTGATGTTATAATAGTTGATGTATTCCTATAATACTCCAACAGTGCGCAAATAATTACCGCTACACTTCGTAAACAGAAGCATAACACAGCTGGCAGAAAAACAACACGAATTTGGCGCTAAACGATAGATCGGCAAAGGCTGCGTTCGTAAACGTTACCCAGGTGTTTTTGTTTCGTTTTATCCTTGTTGTTCATTCAATGTTAAATAAAGATAGGATGATATAAGAGGCATCTGGGTAAGGTTTCCGAACGCAGAAATAGTTGAAAGTGATGTGTGCGCGTGTGTGCAAAAAGTTGGTAATTTTTGTCGGCACAATATAAGTACATACAGTAGGAACACTGAACTTTTTATATGGTCCTCAATTTTTAGTGCGCATCGATTTCCAACCAGGGAATCGATTCTGGGTATGATTAACGCGATGCTGCAAACGCTTTAAAACGTTTTTTAATTGGTCAGTTTGTAAAATTTTTTCTTCTAGTTGGCCCATCAAATGCATCAAAGCATTTGTAGCGAGACTTTGACCATAGAGACCTCTGTGTCTTAAAACGAGGTGAAAATTATAAAAGAATGAATTTACTAGAATATTGATAATTTCATTGGTCAACACCTACTAAACTTACTTTTGTAATTTTCATCTTGTTTGAAGATACAGAATCGAGCTCCAGGAATGTGGCTGCCTTCAGCAAATTGAAATTGTAGGTTAGGTTAGATTAGTTGGTTCTCCTTCCCATAATATATAATTAACCCTTCCGCCCACAATATTATGTGAGACTTATGATAAAAGGCTTCGCACAATACAGAAACAGGGAACAGAGAACAGAGAATAAGAATTTCAACCTATCAAAAATCATGTATTGTGTAATACACAGTTTCTGATAAGTTGAAATTCTTATTCTCTGTTTCTTTTATTGTGCGGAGTCCCTAAGGAAATCGGGCCAAATATGAGTATCACGAATGATAACCGTGGTACGTCGTTCGTACAAAGCTTAATTTTTTTTTTAATTTGTAAGAGAAAAGTATGGCAAAGGGTTAATAAAATTAAATTTTATTAAAAAATTAAATCAAATTTTTTCGGAGACGCTATATTGTGTAGAACTGTTATATTTATATATGATAAAGTATTCTCATAATAAAGTATGCATGTATGCGTGCGTGCGTGCGTGCATGCGACATGTGTGTACGTGTATTATTAAATTACATTTAGAAAAATCATTCTGTAGCTTTATAAAAACTTAAATTTATAAGCGCCTTTCCAAACCACAACATGGCGGCGAGTCATGTGATCTGGGACCCACCATCTCACATCAAAGGTGCCGACGCTCAGTGTCCATACTGTATGTATTTATACTGTAGCATCGGTGTGACTGCAGTAACTACATTACCAATTAAACTTTCTCGCTGTTAAACTACTAATGTTCTATTACACCAATTTCTTTTACACCGATCTTTTAATATCCGTACCAATTAGTAACTTTCTATAAAATCATGTTAATTTCAGTAATAATATTCTTAAAGAATATTAGTGTATGTACATACTATGGTGATACAATAAGCATCAATTAAGATGATCAATTAAATTACCATGTATATGTTTACATACATCGTCGAAATTAAAATAATTTAATAGAAAATTATTATTTAGTATGAGTTTAAATCAGCAATGTAAATTAGGACTGTATACTTATTTTATTTTAAATATAAATGTAAACTACAATTAAAGAGCAAATTTAACAATTTTTGAAACATCGTTTTAGTTTTTTATAGTGCAAATATCAATGATTTTTTGCTTTTACATGCATTACAATTGTGCTTTTAATTTACATATTTATTGAATAAAAGATTTATAATCTCGTAAATAATATAAACATACAATAAATATAATAAACATTATAAACATAATATAAGCTGAAATCCCTCTTTAGTGAAAATTTTTCTAGTCAGAATTTTTCAAAATTTCTAAATAATTTTCTAACTTTTTAAAAAATTTCTTAAGTTTTTTAAAAACACTTTTCAGAAATGCCGAGAAAGTTTACGTTTTTTTTGGAAGTTTTCATATGTGAATTCTGAAATATTTTAAGATTTCTCATTCTATAATTTTAATTTCCAATGAAATTTTATAAAATCTAAAAATTTATATTTTTATCTTTATATTTTTTAGAAATCATAAACTGAGAAATCTTACAATATTTATATAAATGTTTATGTGTGTATATAGATATATATTCTATATAAATATACATAATTTACATCGAGTTCTAGTTTAGTTCGAGCACTTGATACGCATACTAATTAGTAACCCAAGCAGAACAACAAGTCATGATATCAAAATGATATCAACATGACTCCAAAATGATCATTAAAAGTCGTTTTTCAATCATTTGTGATTCATTTTAATGTTATTTTGACGTTATTTGTTGTTATTTTTGTGACTTGTTGTTTTGCTTGAAAACTTTCTATTAAATTATCTATTAAATTATCTTTCGGTAATACATTTAAAGAATGGTGTACTAAGCTGATACAATATGTATCTAAATGATTAATTAAATAACCATATTGTGTATACATTTACACGCACCACCGAAATTAAAATAATTTAATAGAAAGTTACTGGTTAGTACGCGTATTAAATGCTCAATATAAAAAGTCATATAAATGCATGTGTGTTGCTAAATGTATATATCCTTAATTGTAAAATATTTGCAATCATAAACATTGTCATTCTATATGTTTATATATAATCTTGATAATTTACGAATTTATTAATATATATAAAATTAGAAAATTCAAACATTCAAAATTAATTAATAAAAATTAAAATAGCTCTACTATTCTATTTTCACCTATGCCGAATTGCGTAATACAAGGATTAGACAACAAGCGTAAGCATATCAAGTAATTCTGTGATTTGCTATATGCAATGACTTGTTGTATCTTAACTTTTAATACTTGTTCTATATCTTGTCTAATCTCATGCATCAGATGTGGATCTTCTCTGGGGTATTTGTCCAATATAATCTGCATTTTTTGTTTCATACGGTACGTAATGTTATTGGAGTAATTCTTCTCAAATAACATATGGAAGTCCTTGAGTGTTAAGGGATTGATTTCTTGATCGATTATATTAGTTCTTTTAGATTTCAGATAGATCGACTTTGCATTTTCTGATAACTTTTCCACTGATAAAGTATTTTTGTTAGTGTTAACGCATTCTGATATTGTTGTACCTAATTCTCGTATATTATTCTCAAGTGTCTCCCTATCATATATATTAATGTGTGTGTCCGTATTTTTATTAGCTATTATGTTTGGATTCAGATGTAGTAGCATTTTTTTCGCAGCTTCTTGTTTAGCAGATTTCTTACACTGTCCCGTACCTCTTTCACATAGTGATCCCAAGCTGACTTTTACAGTAAATATTTTCTTGTGAGGTAATCCTTCGTCATAGATAAGGTCGTACTGAATGTCTTTTGTTGGTATTTGTCGTTGTTGGCAGAACTCCTGTACATAGAATAAAAATTACATTATTCTGATGATTCTTTGAACTGTAATATTTGACAGGTAACTTATGAAACTTACTTGCAACATTCCAATGTAATTATATCCAACAGTAAATTGTTTATTTGAGTTGTCTTCTTTTCGAAATGGTACATTTGAAGATGTATTGCAAACTTTTTCAGGGTTTTGTGATATGTTTGTAACTATTGGTGAAGTAACTACTTGTGGAATAACTACTGATAACGGAATTTCGTTATGATTTGTGGCCAACAGTGACAGCATGTTTTTTGCAGCATTATGCTTGGCTTCTTTTTTTGAATTCCCTGTACCATGTGTTATCAATTTTGCACAAGCCACGTTGCATATAAATTGCTTCTGGTAATTAATATTTTTTTCGGAAAAATTATAAATAGGCGTAAATCCTCGTTTAATCGACAGCTCTTGTAATAAATTAATTTCTGACTTAGCCATCTTATAACTGAAAAATACACAAAATATTTTATTTAAGAAATATAAAATAGTAGCACATTACATCACATAGAAGAGTTTACAATTATATATATTTTTAATGATTGACTAGTATATTAAATCTAAAATACATCTATTTAAATAAAAATGTTAAATTTAATATAATTTATAGAAAAAACGACTGTCAAATCTCAATAATTGAACTGTCAAAATCTTGATAAAATTTTATCTATAACATGAAATAATGTACTATTTTATTTTTAATATATAAATTTTTTTTCTTTTATATACTCGACGAATCTTTCCAGAATGTTCTCTTACCGTTGACGGTACAATGTAGGACAAGATTGTTTGCAATCTCGATTATTCCACGTCACCTTGTTCCTCGTTTATTCGAACGAAATCGGACATTGCGTTCCTCTATTCCGTATTTTATTAGTTCCTTTTTTACACATTTACACAAATATTCGATGAAAAATGTACTGTTGAAATAAAAAAGACTGTAAACTCTAATACTGGCTTTTGTTTTTTCTATTTCTTCCTCAGTGGAAGGAGGCTGGCTTCAAACAGTCCAAACTACTCCGAACTACTTACTAGTATCCGGATTCCAAATGATAGAATCGAACAATGACTAATTTCTTCATTTCTAGAAAAAAGTTACTTTGAGATAAGATAACTTAGTCCATGAGATATCTTCTAGATATCTCCCAGATATCTCGTTTACCTATGAAATATTTGGGAGATATTATCCGATAGATAAAAATTATCTAGAAATGAATAAATTGGCCATAAAACCGGAATCAGATTACGCATTGAAGAATGAGATTGAAGATTGAAAGATTGAAATTTGATCAATCAGAACAAAAGGAAATTCTTTGTCCTCATTAATGAAATTTTAATCTTTAATCTTAATCTTCAATGTATGATTCCGGCCTAAGGATGCTTCCTTATGATAATCGAAATTTCGGAAGATGGAAACTCGAAAAAGTAACACGACCAATCAGCATCATTTATGTTTAGCACGTTCATGTAACGTATAATATGATTGGTCGCATTACTTATCGACTATCATAGGATAACAGCATTTTCTAAACATTTGTTACATATCGAAGCGCAGCGATATATCGAAGCACAAGAAAGAGTTACACTATCGAGATGAGGTAATAATTTTTAATTGGTTGCTTAATATCTGCTAGGAACGCTAATGAATTTGTCCTTTGGGTTCGGTATTCTCTACGCCACATAGAAGCTATCAGCTGTTCGGTGACAGGACAGAAGTTTTTTAATACAGTGAGTGCAAAAAGTATTCGTACAAGGACATTTTTTATAAACAAAATCTTATTTGTAGAAAATAAACATTATTTAGCAATTTTCTATAATGAACATATTCTGTTCTAACATAAATAAACGAGCTTCGTATATATTTCTGATTTTAGAAGCTAAATTTCTCGATTGTATGAATACTTTTTGATCATCCAAACAATACAATTTTTAATTTTCGCTTATTTTTTAGATAATATATTTTCTATAATTAATACACATCTTTTTGGTATATGTAATTTTAAGAAACATATTTTCTATTTTATTCTTTATGGTAATAAATTGTTAATTATCCATCAAGAAAGGATCGTCAATTAAACGTCGAATCGTTAAGTTAGTGTTGAATCATCGTATCGATATTCATTCGATATCAATTCGATGATTCATTTCTTGCTGGATAATATTTACTTTTTAAAAATAAAGTTTTTTTAAAAAAAACATTTTCTCTTTATACGAATACTTTTTGCACTTAAAGTAGCGGAGATCAGATGGAGGAGACCAAGGTATCGATTATGTAACTTTTTCTCTAGAACGGAAACGTGAAAAGTGAAAATTTTTATGTATTACATATGTATGTACATATACATATATACATACAAAAAATTTTTACGGTTCCACCTTGGAAAAAGTTATATGATCGATATTCAGGTCTCGATTCGAAGCACCCTGATATTTTTCTCGTGTTATCGCTTATTTTTTACAGAATGTAATAATAAGTCCTAGTAACCGAACGTGTACATCCACGTTATCGATTCTGAAAATTTTTACAAACTGAAGAGTGACCACCTTTCTACATAAATGTCCACAGTCCATTCCTTTCCTTTCTCTCGTTCAAAAAGTTCAAAGTCGTCGATTCTCGATTTCCGAAGGAGAAAATTCTTTGAGAAATCTCTTTGAGAAGATTTAGGACTTCAGCACACAGATAGTCATAACTGACAATGAGTGAATGAAAGTCGTAATCATAGGTCAATGCATAATATTTTGATCAATCTATAACTGCAACTTACGTTCTACGACTCAATTATGATCATCTTTTTTTTCTTGTTGCTTAGACTTTTGTTTGGTTGAGGAGTTAAATTTGAACAGCATCCTGCTTCTTCATATTCCTAGTTTTACATCAAAATTTAATTTTCTTTCTGGATTTCTACTAGATTATGGAACTTATCAATTGATATTGTCTCTGCTGCAATCGTCAATCTATATTACATCATCTTTTAGAAGAATTCTTTCACGTTATCACCATTGCGGAATTCTTCCATAATTCACTGACAATAAAGCTAATTTGGAAGCGACTTTTGAATCAACGATCAAAATGAGAATCCTATCATTTACTAGTCTCAATCCGAATAATCCGATCCTGTAATATTGAGAAGCAGTGATCACATAGGGATATCTTTGATCTCAATGTGCCGGTCACGTGATCATTCGCTATCTTAATGTCAAGGCTGAATAGAAGACAGTGTCCTACCTATTTTCCAAAGATACTTGTAAAATTGTTGATGTACACGGAGTAATTAATGCTTAGCCATTCGAAGTTACATACATATCGGAGAAAGCATAAGAATGAATGGGAAGAAAGCATAAAACATTTTATTTAAAATTATATTAACAAGAAAAAAGAATGTAACAGAATTAATGCTTTTTCATATAGAAGTTTCTTAAATTAAAAAATATTTTATTTAAAATTATACATTTAAGTAATACCTATCTCATATGATAATTTAAATAATAATTTAATATTCTATTTTTTCATATTTGATCTTAAAAAAAAATCTTTCGTTTACTGTGTGCCAATGTCTCGACAAATTTCTGGATTCGAATGATTGAATGGTATACTTCAACAATATAAGAAGAGCATGTAAGTTCATACATCATATCGATTTACGCTGAATGTCGAAATGTATTATTTAAGTGAACAGACCAAAACTCGTTTTCTCTTCCATCAAAAATGCATCTTCCAAGCTCTGAATACCGCGATTATTCGGATATTTACATGATGGAAGTAATATACTTCTTCCATAAGTATTTGTAGTTGAAGGAAGCTAGATGATACGTGTTTGTATTTTAATTTTTAATTTTTAGAATTTTGAGTAAATTTCTGAAATACAGAATGCAAGTGAAAACCTTCGCCTTATGGCGATTGATAGAGGAAGGTTCAAAATTTTTTCACTCATAATTTATAATCTCACAATACCAATCGTTCAGGTTGTATTAACTGTTTAAAACTTTTGTTTTGGATCCAAATGAACTGTTCCTATATATAATCGAGAGTTAAAAATTAAATGTTGCAGTTGCTGAAAGAAAAGAATGATAGAGGAAATAATTGAACAATAATGCCCAATTTTCTGTAAAGCTAATAATGAATACAACATTTTTTCTGAGAGCTTTATTGTCACATGAATAACAATAAAACGACTGACATGTCTGGCAGCCGTTAAAGAGCTGCCTATTATAAACGTTTATACAAATTGAATTTCTATTCGATACTATTTGATCACCATCGTGACGCAAGATATATAAGAAAAATGTTAGAAATTGAAAGAAAAGTACATACAAAAGCGCCACTATCCCACGCCTTACTTTACAAAAAAGGTCTGCTCAGAGTGACATTAGCTCAGTGTTTTGTATAAGGGTTGTTTTCGGCTTTGCAGCATCAGATGCGTTTAGGAAGCTAAAGGTATGTCTAAAAATGACAGCTTTGTACAACAAAAACCTCCCTCTTATTAAATATCTTATTTGATATGTTAAATTAAAATCAATAAAAAAGAAGGGAATTTTTCCTTATACCAATTTTACTTTTATCAATCATTTAATTAGTTAATAATTAGTGAATAATTAATAACTAATTAAATGATATTCAAATAAAATGTATATAATTATATAAATCAAATGTATATAATTATATAGTTATATAAATGTGATTTATATAATTATATAAATCACATTATTATAAATGTGTAATTCAAAATAATTAAATATTTTCCACTTCTTTTTGATTAAAAAATTCTAATTCCATCCAAAAATTCCATTCTTTTTTATTAAAATTTCGTCTATATTCTAATTTATAAACTGAATTAGAAGTTATTATAATTCATGCTAACAAATTTTGTCGTTAGAAAAAGTTTACATCATTATTATCATCATTCATTCTTTATTAATAATGAAAAAATTCATAAATAAAATAGTACTTCGAAGTAAAATCACATAATAATTGCAACCATTGAGTTCCTGAAACGCATCCTATTTATGTCGACTATGTTTTACTAAAGTTATATATTTATTTCTATAATGCAGTTCCGTTCAGTTTTTACACATTGTAATCGTGTGTTTTGAAATGTCTCTTGCACTTCTTCCCTCAATCATTTCGGAATGGCCAACAAAATCGGTCTTTGTTATCTATATTTCAGTAGAAAAAGTACACAGTATGGTACAAGCGATTCTTGCAGTGGTGCAAGTTTCAAAGCATTTTTTCAAGAACATATGGTTTGTACATAGGATATTCGATATTTGATTCGTTGGAATTTTTAGAACGTTAGGAGCCTTTTGATGATTCGTATTGCACATAAGCAACGTTTCCATGATAAGCGCACTGGCACGGTTTTGGATTATATTGTGATAAATATTTCCGAATAAAATAGCTAAGAATAAAATGACAAAAGTAATTGAGTCTTATTGTGTACTTCGAATATCATTCGAAAGATGGTGGAAGAAAGAGAAGTGATGGAGCATGTTCATAACATGCCAAAACCTTTTGAATAATTGATTGCTTTCAATAAGCGATCTTGCAATTTTTCTATTGTACTGTAATCCGGTAACAGTAACACATTGAAGCATGTGTGTGCTATTGGTAATCTAAAAATATAC